TCAGAACATGATCTGATTTCTGTCCTTCATTCTGTCCTTCATTTACTTCAGACTTTCTTCTGCCATTGCATTTTTTTAAACCTTCACTTTAAAGAAAGCATGAAGTGAACTTTTTCATACATTACCCTTTAACAATATTACTGACTTGTCTGTAGAGTCAGCATCAAAACCAACTAAGCACTAAAATTTACATTTACATTCTATGTGAACCTAAGATTGCCGTAAGAGCAGTAGTAAAACCAGGAAGACTTGATTCCTGTTATATCCAATCTTAAGCATATTTGATTTGTCAGGAAAATTCCTCAGCAAGCTGGGAGTGCCTTGCTCCAGATGTGATAACAGAATATTTTATCATAATACAAATAAGTGTAAAGCCCTGCCCTTTACTTGCTCTGAATTTCAAAGTTTATGGAATGTTCTGAATTCCTGATCCCTCTCTCCGTGTGAAATGCTTACCTCAGCTTCTTTACACAGGTCTTGTCAAAGGTTAAGATTTTTGACTCTGTTTTTGGAACTAAATCAAATGTAGTTATAATCTTGATTCTGTTTTAGAAACTAAATCAAATTTAAAAGCATCAATGTCTTTTAAGACTCTTTCTATGAGTGTCACGCAGAGCCTTCTTGCATGCTTGTGGTTTACAGGACCGAAATTGCTTAGAAGGTGGGTCTGGGTATTGTTGACAAGCCAGAGAAATGTCCAGTGTCTAGATCTTCTCTCTCATCCAAAACCAGATGAAGGATCACTAGAAGGCAGCTTTTCCTTCCAGACTTGCAGCAGGAAGGTGCTTAGCTCATCATAGTAACTTTCTTTTCAAATTATTTTGTGTCACTGGATATGCTAATGTTTTTTACATGATAACATAGAATGTAGAACATTATAAATAAGACAAGAAAACAGTGTTAGAATGTTATCATCTTGTTAGCCTCAGAGATATAACATCTACCTGGGAGAAGTAACTGACTTCAATTGCTGCATATTTCTTCAATTTCTGCATCTCATATTTGAGTTTTTAAATATTTTCCTTCTTACATCACTCCCACCCTCCCCTCCATCCCCATTACTGCTACCAACCTGAGCAATGAGTAAAATCAAACTAAAGAAAGAATATAGTTGCAACGGGCAGAACTGTTTCTTAATAATAAAAACATTTATTGTCCTCAGTATTCCATTTAAAATGGGTCAAGCTGTTTTCACAACCATGACAACAAAAATATGAGTGCTGAAAACATGAAGAAAAGAAAATTCTAAGCCACTGAAACTTTGTCTCAAATTAAAACACAAATGTTACATTTAATCCTCCTGTTTGTGGAACATTAGTGTCTCCTGAGAGTGTAACAAGTATTTTCACCCTCCCCAATCACCTCTCCCCATTACATACATATACCCTTAAAGAGTTTTGTAGTCATCAAGTTTGGGAAACTGCCTGCTCTCTCCTCTTTGTGATTCATAATGTATATATGCATTTAAAAGCCTCTGGGGAGTTCTAGTGAAGAGGACTCTGTGACTTTAACAGAGCATCGTTCTCCTGGGAATACTGATTATATTTTGGTAATCACAATTTCAGGAACGCTGGACTAGAGCTATACATAAGAATTAAGGCCCAAACTTGCAGCAACTTAAATACCGGCTGAGCTAGAACCTTGTGTGGGCAGGGCAGTTATTAATTGTTGCAGAGGTGTTATAGACCTACATGATCAGGGACATGAGCCTGGTGGTCAGAAATAGGGCTTGAATCCAGCTTGGCCACCTAATATTGTGTGTTCAAAGGCAGATTACCTCGTTTATCTTCAGCTCTGATTCCTCAACCACTTATAAAAACTGGGTATGTTAATATATACCTTACAGTGTTATTGGGAGGAGCTGGCACATTTGAACACTGGAATACCTTCAAATAGAAATTCTCTGGGAAGTTACTGGAAATTTGGAAATCTCATTAAATAACAGTCTCTTTAAAGACAATGAATGACTGTGGAAATGTCAACCAAATCAATTTTCTCTCCTTATTTTTTGGTAATTATAGGCCCACAAGAGTCTTTTTTCTTTTAGATCAAAGCAGGTAGTCTCCCTGAGTAATTGTGGCACGATTTCACGGCTCAATGCAAATGTGAAGATGGAATACGTCTGTTTTTCTCAGGCTGTGAGGAGAATTAGTGAAACAAATATAGTTCTGAGGGCATCAGGGGAAGAAGGTATATCTTTTTATCGTGTATTCATCTTGCTGCTTTTTATATTAATGTTGACTATGATATTTACTAGCTTCCATTCATTGCCCTTGTGCCTCCCAAATTCACATCGCATGTTAATTACAAGAAAATTACAGGGGTGGGAGAATTGCTCAAGCTCAGGAGTTTGAGACCAGCCTGGGCAACATAGTGAGACTCCTATCTCATTTTCTTAAAAAAGAAAAATATGGTTTTTTTTCCCTATTCACATATGAACATTTTGATTCATAGAAATGCACCACAAAGATTGGTCTAGGGAGGAAGAGGAACCCTGGAAATAGGATAAAAATTCTATGAAGTGAGAGCTGTCTTGGAGGGGTTGCAGAATATAATGCTGGCAACTGCCATTGAAAAGATTTGGATGCCTTTGTCCCTGAGTAGAATTGTCAAGAATTTGGCAATGTGAGTCACGGGGAAATGCAGGCTTGGCATACATGACAATACAAATACCCTGCATGACATCTACTATGGATTTATATATATGTTTCCTGAGACTTCTGCAAGTAGATTTTTTTTTCCTTGAAAGATTCTTGCTCTGTCTCCCAGGTTGGAGTACAGTGGCCCAATCTCAGCTCGCTGCAACCTCTGCCTCCCAGGCTCAAGCAATTCTTGTGCCTCAGCCTTCCAAGTAGCTGGGATTACAGGTGTGTGCCACCATGCCCGACTAATTTTTGTATTTTTAGTAGAGAGGAGGTTTTGCCATGACGGCCAGGCTCGTCTTAAGTGATCTGCCTCCCTTGGCCCCCCAGAGTGTTGGGATTAAAGGCTTGAGCCACCATGCCGGGCCTGCAAGTAGCTTTTCCTTAAGACTATGTCTTAGTCCATTTGTGTTGCTATAAAGGAATAGCTGAGGCTTGGTCGTTTATAAAGAAAAGAGGTTTATTTGGCTCATGGTTCTGCAGGCTGTACAGCAAGCATGGCACCAACATCTGCTTCTGATGAGGGCCTCAGGAAGCTTCCACTCATGGCAGAAGGTGAAGGGGAGCCATCGTGTGCAGAGATCACATGGAGAGGAGGAGACAAGAAGAAGAGTTGGTGCTCTTTTCAACAACCAGTTCTTGCTCTTTTCAGCAACCAGTTCTCACGGGAACTAAAAGTGAGAAGTTGCTCACTCCCAAGACAATGGCACCAAGCCATTCATGAGGGATCCCCCACTGTGATCAAACGCCTTTCACCAGTCCCCACCTCCCACATTGGGGATCAAATTTCAACAAGAGACTTGGTAGGGCCAAACAAAACATATCCAAACCACAGCAGAGTGCTTGTCTTGTATTTCAGATCCTGTTAGAAGTGTGGGTTTTGAGAAGATATGGGTGTGAATTACGTCTGCCGTTAAATGAAAATAATTTTGGAAGATGTGTGTAAAATTGTGCAGATATATCTTCCACACATATTTTCTTCCCTCAAAACCCCTTCATCGCAGTGGGACCCTTATTGCTGCCAGTAGTGATAGTCTTGAAACCATGAATATTGATTCTCACCAAATTTGAACAATTCTGCTTTACTCTATCATAAAAAAACAAAACAAAAACAACAACAACGACAAAAACAGGGCCAGGTGTGGTGGCTCATGCCTGTAACCCCAGCACTTTGGGAGGCCAAGGCCGGCAGATCACCTGAGGTCAGGCGTTCGAGACCAGCCGGACCAACGTGGAGAAACCCTGACTCTACTAAAACCACAAAATTAGCAGAGTGTGGTGGCACACACCTGGAGTCCCAGTTACTCGGGAGGCTGAAGCAGGAGAATTGCTTGAACCAGGGTGGGCGGAGGTTGTAATGAGCCTAGATTGCGCCATTGTACTCCAGCCTAGGCAACAAGAGCGAAAGTCCGTCTCAAAAAAAAAAAAAAAAAGCAAAATAGCAAACAAACCTCAATATATGTATTTTGGAGATGTTCTTTTTTTTAAAAAAGTTAATAACCATTTTGGGTTCAAGGGCACACATGCAAGTTTGTTACAGGTGAATTGTGTGACACAGAGGTTTGGTGTATGGATTATTTCATTGCTCAGGTAATAAGTGTAGTACCTGATAGGTAATTTTTCGATCCTCACCCTCCTCCCACCCTTCACCCTCAAACAGGATCCAGTGTCTCAAAACCAATATTTTTTTCAGATCCTTTTGTATATTGAATATTGTGCTAGGTTGAATGCTTGTATTAGGGAAATACAACAAACACACATTTATTTATTCAATAAATATTGAGTACTTACTATATGCCAGGCCCTGTATTAGGTCATGGGATATGCTGCTGCACTGAATAAAAACACACACAAAAAAAAAGCAAGCAAAAATTCCTGCTGCCGTAGGGCTTATATACTAGTTGGTTAACTGGGGATGACAATAAGCAACATAAGTAAACTGTAGATAAATTAGATAGTGATGAGGAGTGTGTGCTGAGGATGAAACATAGCACAGGGAATGAAGGGTAGGAGAAGGAGTTAAAGTTATAGACAGGGTGGCCCAGAAAGGCCCCGTGAAGAAGGTGATGTTTGAATAAAGACCCAAGAAGGTCAGAGAAGGAGCCCTGTGGATATCTGGAGGAAGAGGCCTGGGTAGGAAGCATGCCTGGCATGTTGGAGGAAAGGCTGGGAGATGGAATGGCTTGGAACAGGTGAATGAGGGGCAGAATAGCAGGAGAGGAGATCACAGGGTCACAGAGAACCAGGCCACACAGAGTAGTGTCCATCTTAGAAAGACTCGGGCTTCCACTCTGAGATAGAAAGGCATTAGACGGCTTTTTGTTTGTTTAGGTTTTCTTATGTATTTATTTTTTGTAGATGAGAGAAAGATGTGACTTCCATCTGAACAGCATCACTTTGACTGTGAGTGGTGATTAGAGGGAAGGAAGAAGATGGAAGTGGGAGACCGTTCGGGAGGCTACTGCAGGAATCCAGATGAGCCATGATGGTGACTTGCTGTAAGTCAGGGTTGGTGACAAGTGATTAGACTTGGGGTACACTTAAAAAGTGTATCTGGAAGGACTTTCTGGTGGGTTAGATTGGAAAGGAGGAACGTCAAAGTCTCTGAAGCTTTCAGACTGAGCAAAGGATGAGATGAAGTAGTAGACTGATGGACAAGCAAGTCTGAGTGGGTTGGTGAGATCACTGTCAGTCATGCTGAGCTTGAGGTGCCCATTAGGCAAGTGGCTGTGTCAAGTAGGCGAGTGGATATGGAAGCCTGGACTTGCAGGGAGAGGTCTAGTTTGGAGATATCAGTCTGTAAGTGGGCAGCTTAGAGATAGTATTTAAAGCAATAAAACTGGATGGAATCATCTAGGAATACATTTGGATACAAAAGATAAAAATTCAAGGGGTACACCCTGGATCTCTTATAAAACTAAAGATCTGGAGAATTGGAGGAACCAGGAAAGGTGAGTGAGAAGGAGTGATTTGTGAGGTAGTAGGAAAACCGAGACAGAGATGTAGCTAAGTGTAGAAATTCCTGGGGGAGGGGTACGGAAGAGAGAGGGGTGTGTGTGTGGATACGTGGTATGTATGTCATATAAACTGTATGAAATGCAACTTATAGAAACTAAATTGACTGCTGCATTTAGCAACATGGAGGTCATCTGTGACCTTGAGAAGCACATATAAAACAAAAATAATGGAGCACAGATTAAGTGACTCATGTGTGGTAGAGACCCTGCATGTGAGAACAATTTAAAAGTCTTGTAAAATGTACAGATTCCTGGATCTTATTCCCCAGAGAATTGAACCTGTAACTCTAGTATGGTGACTGGGAAGCTTTCTTTTGAAAATGTACCATTTCACTTAAATGACCAGCCAGATTTTGAATTCCCCACTGTAGGTGCTTCACAATCAGGAGACAGTAGTAATCACACTGAGCACAGAATGTTACCCGAAGCAGAAAAGTTACAGTTGAATAACCAGAGAAGCTAGGAAACCTTATCAACGCCTCATGAGCAATGCAGCCAATTGACCATAATAAATGAGGAAAAGGTGCTCAAATTTCTCCAAGGAGCTCAAACTAGGGAGAGAGGATTTGGAAAAAGGACGTTGAAGCTGAATGCTGCAAACTGCAAGTCCAGCTAAGTCTATGTGGGTAACCAAGAGTCACCGAGGGCATCCAAACCTGAATAGGACATTACGAAGTTAATATTTTGTGAATATTATATATGGTAGCATTTTTAAAGAAAATAATTTGAAAAATAATCCATTGTGAAGGTTATCTTTCATCTCTAACATTGGTAGGTACTCTGTTTTTCGTTTCCTTGTGGACCTCAGTTTTAGGATTTTTATAATCTGTCTGGCCACTGCCACATCTTTGCAGTTTCTGTCATCACTCTCTTTTCTGCCATTTTTTACATTTATCTTGAACAGTTATTCTCAAGCAATAAACTCTAATGTTCTGATGAGCCCACACATTTTTATCAATATGTAATATTTATTTTTATGTCATTGGGTATAAAATATATTTGTCAGACAGAACCGTGAGTGGAGTGGATCTTGCATTAGAATATAACAGAGAGAAAGTAAGAGGTAAGAGGAGGGTGATGGTACAATCTATCATCCATGCAAGGACACTTTTGGGAGTGAAAAGGGGTGCCATCAACAATAACATCAGGACAACAGGAAGGAAGTGGAATTCTTCAGGTAAATAGGGACATATGGACATCTAGGAACTATGTGTTTTAAAGCTAAGTTTAAAGCTAAAAAGAATGCTCTGCTTTTGGAACTTATGAGAACTTTGCCTTGTGAATATATTGAGTGCGCCCTGGACTGCAAATAGCATTATTTAAACAGCTGCTAATGGGCAACGAGACAGATAGTGCAGGAAATGTGGATACTTTCAGAAAAACTGCAAAATACTGTGGCTCCTCTTTCATAGTGGTTGTGCCTTGTGATTATGTGGATCGTTTACATCTATTTTGAGGTTTATACTTTGTATGTCTCGGCTGTGTAATTATGGTAGAGGTTATAATCCCTTCTAATATGCTGCAGAAACTTCTACTATTTGGAAATCCTCAGTGAACACAAAAGGAATGAATACAACTAACGTTCTCCTAGTGATTACTGAGAGAGTTTCCCTGAAGGTTTGTTAAGATAATAATAATATCAACTCCTGCTAAACACTTCCACTCGCTTCTAGGAAAGTTCTCCTAGTTGGCATTTCCTCTGTCTTCAGACATCTTCTGGTATCTCCTAGCCTAAATAAGAAAAACTCAGCATGGCCCTGACAACATTTCTATGCACCTTTTCTTTTCAACAATTACCACATTGATTGTTGAATCTAAAGATATATTTTAAATTCATGCTGTTCGATGACCTCACATTATTTTTATACCATTGATCTCTCTCCTTCTGAAAATTCTCTTTCTTTGAAACATTACTATTTATTTCTGCTTAAACCTTCTAGAACTGCTTCACTGATGCTTTTTTCTCCTCCGTTACCAAAGTTCTTGGTATTGTATGTGGGCAATTCTGTGTATATTCTTGATGTTCTTCTTTTCTAAATTATTTTTATTCTACCCTAGAGGTTTCAATATCACTTTGTTATGCAATGATCCCAAATCATACTGTGACTTTCTTCTTCATCTCTCTCTCACTTATTGCATTTTCTTTTTTTTTTAATTTTAATTTTTAATTTCTGGGGTACACGTGCAGGATGTGCAGGTTTGTTACATAAGTAAACATGTGCCATGGTGGTTTGCTGCACCTATCAACCCATCGCCTAGGTATTAGGCCCAGCAAGCATTAACTATTTTTCCTAATGCTCTCCTTCCTCCAATCAGGCCTCAGTGTGTGTTATTCCCCTCCATGTGTCCTTGTGATCTCATTGTTCACCTCCCTCTTATAAGTGAGAACACGCAGTGTTTGGTTTTCTGTTCCTGCCTCAGTTTGCTGAGGATAATGGCTTCCAACTCCATCCATGTCCCTGCAAAGGACATGATCTTGTTCTTTTTAATAGCTGCATAGTATTCTATGGTGTATATATAACATAGTTTATCGCTGATGGGCATTTGGGTGATTCCATGTCTTTGCTATTGGGAATAGTGCTGCAATGAACATACATGTGCATGTATCTTTGTAATAGAATGATTTATATTCCTTTGGGGTATATACTCAGTAATGGGATTGCTGGGTCAAATGATATTTCTGGTTCTAGATCTTTGAGGAATTGTCACACCATCTTCCACAATGGTTGAACTAATTTACATTCCCACCAACAGTGTAAACACATTCCTATTTCTCTACAACTCTGCCAGCATTGAATTTTTCGTAATACCTCAACTTCAGCTTATCCCAAGGAAAACCCATTCTGTTTTTTGCATGACCAGTCCCCACATTCTACTTCCCTGCACAGTTCTCTACAAAGATTGACTGATGGATACTTTGTGACTGAATAGCATAGCCTTTCACACATTCACACTGTTCTTCCAGTGCTTAACAGTGACAGTCACAGGACATTTTTCATCTTATAAATCTACTTCAGAAATCCCAGGGGCACTAGTCAATTCATACCATCTTAATCCCAAGGAATGGGCAGTGCAGAACTGGGACAGCCTCCCTGCAAATGGGCAAAGGTGGACTCCATAAAAGCTTACAGCATAGAGTTGCTGAACAGAATGCATAATTCACATGGGTAGCTTGTACCTAAGAGAAAGAGGAGGGGATTAAACTGGACTTATCCAGTTTTGCTTCTAAAAGTTGCTGGCCAGATTAAATCATAGAGACTAGGAAAGTTGTAAAAAGGGCATTTCATTCACATTAAAAAAAGGAGAGAGAAAAAAAAGATCGCCTCTCAATAGTCCCAATTTTAATTTTTTTTAAACTCATTGGGCAAATAGTTGGAAACAATAATCAAATCTATCTCTTAATCCAAAAATAACATGAGAGTAACAAGGTGCCCCACATTTGATCATAAAACCCAACCTCAGCATCAGATTGTCAAGGAGAATGAGAGTCCAAAGATAACGTTTCTAAAATTCAAAATCCAAAGTAATTCAAATCCATAATCAATCTTCCTGCCCTTGTGGGCTAATTTCACAGGAATTAAAGTCCAAAATTCATCAACCACCTCAACTTCCTGCTCTTCTCAGTCCCAGCCAGATGGTTCTCGATGCCTGAGGAGTGCTATGATTTCTTCAGCAGCTGCAGCCAAGTCTGTCTCAAGCCAAATCTCTCATGCCTCACTTGACAGTCCCAAAAGATTATCTGAGAACTGGCCCTACTCACCCACCAAATTTAGAAAACAAGCCAGTCTCCAGGCTTCTGGGCCAACTATTTCAGACAAAGATGTGTTTACAACTTAGTGGAAACCCACCATACCCAGTGTTGCCAAAGATCTTAGCAGATACTCATGGCATCAGAGTGATAGAGGATAGGTGGGAAAAAAATCAGATTTTTGCAAGGAAAAAGAAAGCACAGAGGTAGGCCAGGTGTTACACTAGTGCAGCTCCTTTCACATTGAAGGAAGTATCAGGAGTGGGGAGGAAGTGTCCTTCTCACCAACAAAAATTAGAAGTTCAGCATGTGATTTTGCTTAGAACAAATCTCTTTTGTGATTATTTTCTGTCTCTTGACATATATCCACATTTCAAGTAATGGAGTATTTTCATGACTAAATTATAAATGTTTTATTCATACAAAATTAGCTGGGTGTGGTGGCGCACACCTGTAGTCCCAGCTACTCAGGAGGCTGAAGCAGGAGAATTGCTTGAACCTGGGAGGTGGAGGTTGCAGTGAGCAGAGATCACGCCACTGCACTCCAGCCTGGGCAACAGAGCGAGACGCCATCTCAATAAATAAATGAATACAAATAAAAATAAATGTTGTATTCATAGATGTCAGCTCTAGTTCATTTATCCAAACTCAATAAATGACATCTTTATTTCCTGATTCCATTTCATGCAAGAAGCAATGAGAAACTCATATGATATCTGAACCCAAAGGAAAT